AATAGTTTTTCAATAGGTATATATAGATGTGAAAGTGTGAAGAGTCTGAAGTTGCTAGAGTGCATCTGAATAGTTAGTTGAAGGTTATTAAGTAGTTGTATAATTTTAAAGGTAATAGTATGTTTGTTTGGTCCATCTATTATTGGATTGTTATGATATAGGATATTTGTTGTTGACCATAAATTATTTTGTATTTGTTAAAGTCTAATGTGGATACTTGTGCCCATAAGGTTAGGATTATTAATATGAAGTAAAAAGTTTAAGATATAGTATTGGATTTGTATATCCTAGATGTTTTTGATACTGTATATGTTGTGTTTTAATAATATACTATGTGGTGTAGTTGTAGGTAATTTAGATTTATATTTAGCAGTAGTAATGTATTGTAATAGGATAAAGTTGCATATTGTGCATAATAGAACTATATTATGTATGCAGTATTCTAGAATAGGAATAATAACTGTATTAATGATATATGCTGCTTGTTTATCAGTTATATTTTTGGTTTTGAGTATTTTATTGAGTTCTAATGCTTCTTGTTTGATTAGTTTAATTTGGGTAGCATATTTAGAGGTAGTTGTAAACCAACATCTTAGGAATTTAAAAGGTGTGTAGCAAGGTAGTGTTTGTATTGTAGAGTTCATGAAATTGATAGTTGAAGTTAATTTTGTATTAAAGATTAAAATAAATTTATGTGAGTTAACTTTGATGTAAGATATGGTATAGAACGTTGATGCTGTTTGTACTATCTCTTGGAGTTGTTCTTTGGTTTTTGCTAATCATAGTGTATTATCCATATATGCCAAGGTTGATGTTGAAGTTGTTGCTGATTGATATTTTATTAGGTTAAGTTGAGAGATCCATTTGGTTGTTAAGGTATAACCAGTGTATCTTTTGTTTATATTGTTAATAAGTGAATTATAGTAAATGTGCCAGAGAAGTGGTGTTATAGTTTCTCCTTGGTCAATACCATCCTGTACTTCATATGAAGAAGAAGAGCTAAAGTTAGAAATTACTTGATTGGAGTGGTTTTAAAGTAGATTAATTATAGTATTGACTAGACATGTAGGTATATGTATTCATTGTAATGCTTTGTTACTGAGTTGAATGTTAACTGAATTATAAGCTTTACTCATGTCTTGTGATAGAATCCAAATTTGTTTTTTAGTACAGGTTGCATCTTCGATGAAGTTGTTAAGTATATATATAGGGTTGTTAGTTGAGTTGTCTAGAAGTGCAACATAATGGATTTAAGATAGGATGAGTTGTAAGGATTTTGTTTAAGTGGTTAGTAAGGATTTTTGTAAGACTTTTTTAGAATGTTAAACTAAAGTAATAGGTCTGGTATTATTAAGATTTCTATCAAATTGTGACTTTTTTGATATCAGGTATATTCTACTTTTTTTCTATTGTTTTGAAATGTTTTGTAGAATTAAGCATCTGTTAAGGAATGCTGTAAGTGCTGTTAGCATATTTATTCTGATATACTTAATCATTTTATAACTAATTCCTGATGGTCTGCAGGCTTTGTTGTTTGAAAGTTGTTGGATAGTTTGTATAACTTCTTCTATGTTGATATGTTCAAGTGCAGAATTGTACCATTCAGGATTGATTTTTGGGTTTGGTGTATATTTTGTTTGCCAGTATTTATTGAATATTTGTTCATTGTAAGGATGGTGTGCTGTCTATTCATTAAAATGATCTGAAATGTGTTGTTTAATTAGTTTAGAATCAGTAATAATGTCTGAGTCAGTTTTGATATTGTGAAAATGCACTGGCTCTTTGTATCTATTTAGTATACTATTAATCATTTTTGTAGGTTGTGTAAGTAATCATTCACATCTTTTGTCAATTGCTGTATTAATATGTTTGCATAGGTGTTGTGCATTTTCAAGGTTTCTGCTATTGTAGAGTGTTTTCTAGCAAAGTTTTGTTTCTTGTATCTATATGGCCAAATTGGATTGTTGATGTAAAGATGGGTTGATACTAAAGTTGTGTATTATATTAATTTGGTCAATTAGACTCTGTATATTGTCAAGTATGGTAGTATTGTGTATAAAATGCTTTTTAACTTAATTTATAATGTGTCTGATAGTTTTAAGATCATTGTATAGTTGTGTAGCTTTTGGTGTAAAGATATGAAAAAAGTTTTAAATAGTATATTTTTTGTTTGGGATGTGTTTAAGAGCTGCTTTAGTTATACAGATATCTATTTTGTGCCATGTATGTTCAAGACTTTCTGTAGTATCTGTTGTTATTGGCACTTGATATTCTATTATATTGGTCTTAACTTGGTTTGCGAATTCTTCCCAGTTTTCTTTAGTTATTGCTTTGTAGTTATATGTTCTTCTTTTGCATCTGTTTTTGTTTCTGGCTTTAGATATAGCAAATGGAAATTTCTAGATAGATATTAGTATTTGATGATCACTATTTGTTAATGATAATGAGTTGTCAAGTTCGAATTTGTGTAAATAAAGAATTAATAAGTTATCAGCCCAGATATAGTCTATTCTGTTTTAATATCTAGTACTTTGTCATGTACTATAGGTATTATTGGAGTAATTGGCCAAGTCATATAAATTGATACTATGTAGGTAGTTTAGCAATTAATATTTAATAGCTGATGAAATTGTAGAATCATTATTAGCATTAAAGTTACTAAATATGATAGGATGTAAATTAGTAGCTAATGCTTGTTGTATTCATTCTTTTACTTTATCTTGTGTTGCTTTTTGAGTTGATGGGTTTGTAGATAATAAGTAAACTGATATGATTTTAAATTTGTAATCATGCTTAAAAAAACATCAAGTGCGATGGCACCACCATTGTGAGTCAATATGTTATGAATATGAGATTGGATATGGTTTTGAATCATAATACATATGCCTTTTTTCAATGTTGTAGAGTTGGCCTAGTAGTATGTATAATGTTGTGTATTGAAGAATTTATTAGATATTTTATTTAAACTTTTTGTTTCTATAAGGCTTACTATATGTAAGTTGTTTGTTAGACAGTATTCTTCTCATAATAGTCTTTTTTCTCTAAGGTTATATCCTTGTACATTGTGTGTTGCAATTCTAAGTTGAAGACAAAGATCAGTTGTAAGGTTTTCATGTAGTGATAATAATGATGTAGTTGGTAGATTAGAGGTGAGAAGAAGTGAGGAACTTGGAGAAGCTGATCTTGATGAATCATAAGGTTTAGGGTTTATTTGAGGTAAGTAGCTAGAAGTAAGAAAGAATTGATGGTCTAAAGATGTTGGTATAGTAAAGGTTGTTGTTGGTGTATTTGATTTTAGTTGGATATTTGGGTAATGCCAGATTGCTTAAGCTAGTAAAATAAAGTAGTTTGGTAAAGGTTTGGGTTTAAATAAAAGGTAGATATAAGCTTCACTATGTTTATTTTAAATAATATAGTTAATGTATAGTCAAATAAGTTATCAGGTAGGTAGCCAAAGCTGTAGATGTATCGTAAAAAAGTAATAATAGTTTGAGGATGAGGGAGTAATAGTATATGGTTGTAAAATAGAAATTTGTTATAGCAGGTATCAAATTGGATGTTGTTATAGTATTGATTAGCTATGATAGTTTCATCATAGCTCTCCAAAATAGTTCCTACTAATTGAGAATACAGTTCGGTGTATTTCCAAATTTGGCTTAGCATAAAAGAATTGTTCTAGAATTTAGAAGATCATCGATTATCTGCAAAAATAAATCTGATTGGCTATTTTTGCAAATCTTACCTTCATTTTTTTTAAATTGATATTCGATCAATATGATTTTTTTTCTTATTTGAAGATTACAAACATATATTAAAGTTAGTATTTAAAGACTTACAGATTTAGAATCCACTATGGTTACAACAGAATCCATCCACCCCCTTAAGTTGTACTTGTTCAAAAAAATAGGTAGCTGGTTAAAATTTTTATATCAGGTAAGGCTTAAATTTGTCTCTAAACGTTTATTTTATTGATTAATTTTAAGTGTAAGATATTTATTAATCATTAGAATATGATTTAGCTTAGGCCGCATCTGGTATCATAAAGAGAATAAAGAAAATTAAATTATTGGTGATAGAAAAATGAACAAAAAGCACTATCTAATTTCATGCTGGTACATTATTACAATTTGACAATAGTAGCAGTCTATGAACTTATTTAGAAAAAGATCTTTATAAGATTCATGGATAGAACTTATTCAACTTGTGAATGAAATTAATAGTGGATTAATCTAATTTATTTCACAATAAAATATTATTGATCAGAATCTTGTAAGTTTATTTTTTAAATTTTACTTTCTAACCATTTTTAAATTAAATTTTAAATTACTTACAAAATTTTAATGATCAAGAATGTTTTAATAAATGATGATAGGGCTTTTAATCTCGGACTTTGGCATATCAAAAACAATTGAATGGCTTTTTTACTTCGAGCATAAAATAGCAGATATATTGGCGTATATTGAGCCACAGGAGGTGGACAAGTAGAGATAAGAACATCGATAATTGCATTAAAGAATTTCAACTTAAAGCTATATTTTATATCAATGTAATTGAGTGGATTTCTTTTAATAGATTAGATGATAATCAAAATATTTGTGAATTTTTCACAACTTGGCTATATGGAATACGAATCATTTCAGGTAAACATAGTAGTGCAGCTGCCTCTGTTCTGAACATGAGCAAATGATTAAATATGATGAATGATCTGACATTATAGTCTAGGCATATTATTTTGAGAACTTATAAGTAGTCAGTGTACCTTTTGAAATTCTATGCAATTTGATTCATAACCGACTTTTAGCAATAACTTCAGTATATGAATAAATATTTAAGGTTCTTATAATGAAATTTTTATTTGTTATTAATGACGTTTAGATATTAATAATTAATCTTTAATAAAAAAAGGACCATTATATATTTCAAAGCCAATTGGCACCGAATTTGTAATTTGTAAAAGGTATTAACAAATATAAGATATATTTAATAATTCATTAATTTTTTTATATCATTTCTTCATCTATAAGCTCTTTATCTTCATTTTCTTTATCAATAGCATCTTCAGCATTATTTAAGCCTCGTATTTCTTGCAAGATTGTTAATAGTATAGTTTTTGTCTTATTTTTTAAATTAGTATACTTTGAGCATTGTGTTTCGGAAAGTGATATAAGTATTGAATTGATAACTGAAATAAGCTTTTCTTTTTTCATTGTGCTTTCATTTTTTATTATTTCAGCCTCCTGCTTCATTACTGGAATTGCTCACCAAGTATCAATATTAGTATTTTGCATTAAGGTATGTTTAATAAATACTTGTCTTTTTTCTTGTATGAGTACACTAAATGACTTCATTTCTTCACTCAAATTAATTTCACTGTCTAAATTAGTAAATGCACTATTCATTTTTATTGGATTCAAGAACTGTTTTTTTCTTAGATATGTACGAAAATGTTGTTGTTCCATATGAGAATTAGGCCGAGTTCGTTGTTCTGAATTCTCATTATCCTTATATCCAATAATATTAAAAAGGTTGGTATGTAGCTAAATTTAGTTAAATGTTAGAATTAATTTAATACAGTAATATCTATTTATTAAATTATCTTTAAAAAATTTACATAGTTTCTTGTAGCAATTTCCCAGTGATGTTGCGATGGTACTGGAAGAATTAGGGATTTAAGGCTTTATTAATCTCTTCTATTATAGCATCAAGTTCTTGGTGCTGATTTTGAAGCCCTGATCGAGATAATACCGAGAAATTTTCAATATTTTTACGAATTTGAGGTTTTAAATTTAATAAAGTTTCTTTATATGATACTTCTAATAATTTGTAAATCGAATAACACCTAGCTGACCAAATTGGAGCAAATTGGCATCATGCTGCATTTCGTAATAAAGATTGGTTGGTTTGAACTCCAGTGTGAAAGTTAACAATAGCCTGAAGATAAGTAAAAGTCTACTGTGATTGTGTTTTTTTTGTTCTTATTTATGTTGTAAGTTAAAATTAAACCAATATCTAACCTGTTCAAATTTTAATTTATATGTTTCATTAGTTTGTGCTTTAGCCCATTCTAAATATCTATTAGGTGTTGGGTTGTTATGTTTTAGAACATATGGCCATATTAATTCAGATGCCATCGAATATCGATATATATTATATATTGAGTCTCATGCCTTATGGTGGTCAATACATTTTCGAAAATATTCTAGTTGATTATCTGTTTGGTATCCTTGACATCGAGCAAATATCTTTATATCTATATCCCTTAAAAATTAAAAAATTTAAAGTAAGTAAGTTAGTAAATTAAAATATTTTAATATTAATTTATATCAATTTAGTCCAACAAATGCTTTAAGCATATTTATTTCCTTGTGCAAAGGGCCCGGAAGTAGAATTAACCAAGGAAATTTTTTTTTTAGTTTTAGTGCTTGATTATATGATACACCATTACATACGACAGGTAACCATCTGCGTTTTCCAGATTTAATTTCAGCAATTATTTCGATGGCATCTGAATTAATATGGCCATATGTTCTAAAACATAACAACCCAACACCTAATAGATATTTAGAATGGGCTAAAGCACAAACTAATGAAACATATAAATTAAAATTTGAACAGGTTAGATATTGGTTTAATTTTAACTTACAACATAAATAAGAACAAAAAAAACACAATCACAGTAGACTTTTACTTATCTTCAGGCTATTGTTAACTTTCACACTGGAGTTCAAACCAACCAATCTTTATTACGAAATGCAGCATGATGCCAATTTGCTCCAATTTGGTCAGCTAGGTGTTATTCGATTTACAAATTATTAGAAGTATCATATAAAGAAACTTTATTAAATTTAAAACCTCAAATTCGTAAAAATATTGAAAATTTCTCGGTATTATCTCGATCAGGGCTTCAAAATCAGCACCAAGAACTTGATGCTATAATAGAAGAGATTAATAAAGCCTTAAATCCCTAATTCTTCCAGTACCATCGCAACATCACTGGGAAATTGCTACAAGAAACTATGTAAATTTTTTAAAGATAATTTAATAAATAGATATTACTGTATTAAATTAATTCTAACATTTAACTAAATTTAGCTACATACCAACCTTTTTAATATTATTGGATATAAGGATAATGAGAATTCAGAACAACGAACTCGGCCTAATTCTCATATGGAACAACAACATTTTCGTACATATCTAAGAAAAAAACAGTTCTTGAATCCAATAAAAATGAATAGTGCATTTACTAATTTAGACAGTGAAATTAATTTGAGTGAAGAAATGAAGTCATTTAGTGTACTCATACAAGAAAAAAGACAAGTATTTATTAAACATACCTTAATGCAAAATACTAATATTGATACTTGGTGAGCAATTCCAGTAATGAAGCAGGAGGCTGAAATAATAAAAAATGAAAGCACAATGAAAAAAGAAAAGCTTATTTCAGTTATCAATTCAATACTTATATCACTTTCCGAAACACAATGCTCAAAGTATACTAATTTAAAAAATAAGACAAAAACTATACTATTAACAATCTTGCAAGAAATACGAGGCTTAAATAATGCTGAAGATGCTATTGATAAAGAAAATGAAGATAAAGAGCTTATAGATGAAGAAATGATATAAAAAAATTAATGAATTATTAAATATATCTTATATTTGTTAATACCTTTTACAAATTACAAATTCGGTGCCAATTGGCTTTGAAATATATAATGGTCCTTTTTTTATTAAAGATTAATTATTAATATCTAAACGTCATTAATAACAAATAAAAATTTCATTATAAGAACCTTAAATATTTATTCATATACTGAAGTTATTGCTAAAAGTCGGTTATGAATCAAATTGCATAGAATTTCAAAAGGTACACTGACTACTTATAAGTTCTCAAAATAATATGCCTAGACTATAATGTCAGATCATTCATCATATTTAATCATTTGCTCATGTTCAGAACAGAGGCAGCTGCACTACTATGTTTACCTGAAATGATTCGTATTCCATATAGCCAAGTTGTGAAAAATTCACAAATATTTTGATTATCATCTAATCTATTAAAAGAAATCCACTCAATTACATTGATATAAAATATAGCTTTAAGTTGAAATTCTTTAATGCAATTATCGATGTTCTTATCTCTACTTGTCCACCTCCTGTGGCTCAATATACGCCAATATATCTGCTATTTTATGCTCGAAGTAAAAAAGCCATTCAATTGTTTTTGATATGCCAAAGTCCGAGATTAAAAGCCCTATCATCATTTATTAAAACATTCTTGATCATTAAAATTTTGTAAGTAATTTAAAATTTAATTTAAAAATGGTTAGAAAGTAAAATTTAAAAAATAAACTTACAAGATTCTGATCAATAATATTTTATTGTGAAATAAATTAGATTAATCCACTATTAATTTCATTCACAAGTTGAATAAGTTCTATCCATGAATCTTATAAAGATCTTTTTCTAAATAAGTTCATAGACTGCTACTATTGTCAAATTGTAATAATGTACCAGCATGAAATTAGATAGTGCTTTTTGTTCATTTTTCTATCACCAATAATTTAATTTTCTTTATTCTCTTTATGATACCAGATGCGGCCTAAGCTAAATCATATTCTAATGATTAATAAATATCTTACACTTAAAATTAATCAATAAAATAAACGTTTAGAGACAAATTTAAGCCTTACCTGATATAAAAATTTTAACCAGCTACCTATTTTTTTGAACAAGTACAACTTAAGGGGGTGGATGGATTCTGTTGTAACCATAGTGGATTCTAAATCTGTAAGTCTTTAAATACTAACTTTAATATATGTTTGTAATCTTCAAATAAGAAAAAAAATCATATTGATCGAATATCAATTTAAAAAAAATGAAGGTAAGATTTGCAAAAATAGCCAATCAGATTTATTTTTGCAGATAATCGATGATCTTCTAAATTCTAGAACAATTCTTTTATGCTAAGCCAAATTTGGAAATACACCGAACTGTATTCTCAATTAGTAGGAACTATTTTGGAGAGCTATGATGAAACTATCATAGCTAATCAATACTATAACAACATCCAATTTGATACCTGCTATAACAAATTTCTATTTTACAACCATATACTATTACTCCCTCATCCTCAAACTATTATTACTTTTTTACGATACATCTACAGCTTTGGCTACCTACCTGATAACTTATTTGACTATACATTAACTATATTATTTAAAATAAACATAGTGAAGCTTATATCTACCTTTTATTTAAACCCAAACCTTTACCAAACTACTTTATTTTACTAGCTTAAGCAATCTGGCATTACCCAAATATCCAACTAAAATCAAATACACCAACAACAACCTTTACTATACCAACATCTTTAGACCATCAATTCTTTCTTACTTCTAGCTACTTACCTCAAATAAACCCTAAACCTTATGATTCATCAAGATCAGCTTCTCCAAGTTCCTCACTTCTTCTCACCTCTAATCTACCAACTACATCATTATTATCACTACATGAAAACCTTACAACTGATCTTTGTCTTCAACTTAGAATTGCAACACACAATGTACAAGGATATAACCTTAGAGAAAAAAGACTATTATGAGAAGAATACTGTCTAACAAACAACTTACATATAGTAAGCCTTATAGAAACAAAAAGTTTAAATAAAATATCTAATAAATTCTTCAATACACAACATTATACATACTACTAGGCCAACTCTACAACATTGAAAAAAGGCATATGTATTATGATTCAAAACCATATCCAATCTCATATTCATAACATATTGACTCACAATGGTGGTGCCATCGCACTTGATGTTTTTTTAAGCATGATTACAAATTTAAAATCATATCAGTTTACTTATTATCTACAAACCCATCAACTCAAAAAGCAACACAAGATAAAGTAAAAGAATGAATACAACAAGCATTAGCTACTAATTTACATCCTATCATATTTAGTAACTTTAATGCTAATAATGATTCTACAATTTCATCAGCTATTAAATATTAATTGCTAAACTACCTACATAGTATCAATTTATATGACTTGGCCAATTACTCCAATAATACCTATAGTACATGACAAAGTACTAGATATTAAAACAGAATAGACTATATCTGGGCTGATAACTTATTAATTCTTTATTTACACAAATTCGAACTTGACAACTCATTATCATTAACAAATAGTGATCATCAAATACTAATATCTATCTAGAAATTTCCATTTGCTATATCTAAAGCCAGAAACAAAAACAGATGCAAAAGAAGAACATATAACTACAAAGCAATAACTAAAGAAAACTGGGAAGAATTCGCAAACCAAGTTAAGACCAATATAATAGAATATCAAGTGCCAATAACAACAGATACTACAGAAAGTCTTGAACATACATGGCACAAAATAGATATCTGTATAACTAAAGCAGCTCTTAAACACATCCCAAACAAAAAATATACTATTTAAAACTTTTTTCATATCTTTACACCAAAAGCTACACAACTATACAATGATCTTAAAACTATCAGACACATTATAAATTAAGTTAAAAAGCATTTTATACACAATACTACCATACTTGACAATATACAGAGTCTAATTGACCAAATTAATATAATACACAACTTTAGTATCAACCCATCTTTACATCAACAATCCAATTTGGCCATATAGATACAAGAAACAAAACTTTGCTAGAAAACACTCTACAATAGCAGAAACCTTGAAAATGCACAACACCTATGCAAACATATTAATACAGCAATTGACAAAAGATGTGAATGATTACTTACACAACCTACAAAAATGATTAATAGTATACTAAATAGATACAAAGAGCCAGTGCATTTTCACAATATCAAAACTGACTCAGACATTATTACTGATTCTAAACTAATTAAACAACACATTTCAGATCATTTTAATGAATAGACAGCACACCATCCTTACAATGAACAAATATTCAATAAATACTGGCAAACAAAATATACACCAAACCCAAAAATCAATCCTGAATGGTACAATTCTGCACTTGAACATATCAACATAGAAGAAGTTATACAAACTATCCAACAACTTTCAAACAACAAAGCCTGCAGACCATCAGGAATTAGTTATAAAATGATTAAGTATATCAGAATAAATATGCTAACAGCACTTACAGCATTCCTTAACAGATGCTTAATTCTACAAAACATTTCAAAACAATAGAAAAAAAGTAGAATATACCTGATATCAAAAAAGTCACAATTTGATAGAAATCTTAATAATACCAGACCTATTACTTTAGTTTAACATTCTAAAAAAGTCTTACAAAAATCCTTACTAACCACTTAAACAAAATCCTTACAACTCATCCTATCTTAAATCCATTATGTTGCACTTCTAGACAACTCAACTAACAACCCTATATATATACTTAACAACTTCATCGAAGATGCAACCTGTACTAAAAAACAAATTTGGATTCTATCACAAGACATGAGTAAAGCTTATAATTCAGTTAACATTCAACTCAGTAACAAAGCATTACAATGAATACATATACCTACATGTCTAGTCAATACTATAATTAATCTACTTTAAAACCACTCCAATCAAGTAATTTCTAACTTTAGCTCTTCTTCTTCATATGAAGTACAGGATGGTATTGACCAAGGAGAAACTATAACACCACTTCTCTGGCACATTTACTATAATTCACTTATTAACAATATAAACAAAAGATACACTGGTTATACCTTAACAACCAAATGGATCTCTCAACTTAACCTAATAAAATATCAATCAGCAACAACTTCAACATCAACCTTGGCATATATGGATAATACACTATGATTAGCAAAAACCAAAGAACAACTCCAAGAGATAGTACAAACAGCATCAACGTTCTATACCATATCTTACATCAAAGTTAACTCACATAAATTTATTTTAATCTTTAATACAAAATTAACTTCAACTATCAATTTCATGAACTCTACAATACAAACACTACCTTGCTACACACCTTTTAAATTCCTAAGATGTTGGTTTACAACTACCTCTAAATATGCTACCCAAATTAAACTAATCAAACAAGAAGCATTAGAACTCAATAAAATACTCAAAACCAAAAATATAACTGATAAACAAGCAGCATATATCATTAATACAGTTATTATTCCTATTCTAGAATACTGCATACATAATATAGTTCTATTATGCACAATATGCAACTTTATCCTATTACAATACATTACTACTGCTAAATATAAATCTAAATTACCTACAACTACACCACATAGTATATTATTAAAACACAACATATACAGTATCAAAAACATCTAGGATATACAAATCCAATACTATATCTTAAACTTTTTACTTCATATTAATAATCCTAACCTTATGGGCACAAGTATCCACATTAGACTTTAACAAATACAAAATAATTTATGGTCAACAACAAATATCCTATATCATAACAATCCAATAATAGATGGACCAAACAAACATACTATTACCTTTAAAATTATACAACTACTTAATAACCTTCAACTAACTATTCAGATGCACTCTAGCAACTTCAGACTCTTCACACTTTCACATCTATATATACCTATTGAAAAACTATT